GTTCGGAATGGCTTGCTAGTTCGAACTATCTAGCCCGTGCCGCGTGTAGCCGCGCGGCACGGGGTTCGAACAAGCCGGCATTTAAAAATGGCGCCGGCCGGCTTATGCAAATGAAGCCCGGGAAATTCAAATCCCGGGCTTCATTTGCAAGTGCGGTATGCATACATTACCCCGCTAGTTCGAACTAGCGGGGTAGTGTAGACATACCCTTAGAGAACTTGGACTGGCTCCCTGGAATGTCCCTGGGGGCCCCGTGGCTCTGGAGCTGCACACTTGGCCAGGTGCAAGTGAAGGGGGGAGAGCTCTGTGCTGACAGGCTTCCTCTATGGCCAGCTTCCTGTCACGATGCCTTGCAGAGTTGTCTGTGCCTTTAAAACATGGCTACAGACAGGAAGAAGAAGAGGTTTTTCCTGAAGGACTGTCCAGCTGGGGGTTTTCTTGGAGGACTTTTTCTGTCGACAAAAGAAACCCCCGCGTCCAGACTGCCCTTTTTGTCGAGAGAACTCTGTCGATAAAGGCGTTATGCCTCGTAAAATGAGGTTTACCGCTGTCAACAAAACTGCTGAATTCTGTTGATGTTCTGTCGACAGACCTCAGCGGTAGTGTAGACGCAGGTATGGTTTTGTCGACAAAAGTCCACTTTTGTCGACAAAACACTGTAGTCTAGACACACCCTTACACGTTGCAGCTTTTTATTATTTATATAAAGATTGCCCAAGTCACACTGTTTTGTGGAGTATCCCTGGTGTCTCCATTACCCCCGGGGAATTGACTGGCGATAGGATGGCAGTCCCCACCCCTTCTCCCTTTACCCAGAGGCCTGAAGGAGCTCAAGGCCTCCCCTTCCACTCACCTATGTGGCAGAGTCCTCATCATAGCAACCTGGCTGGGCCCGGCATTCATGAGAAGATGGACCACTATTCTAATTCTCTTCCATGAGGATAGGAGCTAGTGTGTCTCCACTCCAGGGTCCTACCTTCACACCGGATGCTTTCCTGACCCACCGATCGCTTTAATGAAATTCAAAGCAAATAGAATTTACGACAGAACAACCGTAAGGAAAACAAGTAGAAATGGGAACAGTTCAAGGAAACAAGGAACCCAACTCTGTGGGGACGAGGACGGGACAGTCAGCTGACTCTGGGACGTAAGAAAATCTGCACTCCAGGGTCCTACCTTCACACCGGATGCTTTCCTGACCCACCGATCGCTTTAATGAAATTCAAAGCAAATAGAATTTACGACAGAACAACCGTAAGGAAAACAAGTAGAAATGGGAACAGTTCAAGGAAACAAGGAACCCAACTCTGTGGGGACGAGGACGGGACAGTCAGCTGACTCTGGGACGTAAGAAAATTTCAGTCTTCAAGGCCCTCTTGTCTGGCGATGTGTCCCTGTGCTGGGCCTTCTGCTCATGGCTCCTCCTTGCTCTTCCCATCTCATTGGGCTCAGCGACTGTGTTACTTGAGGCATGGCCGGCACCCACTCTTCTAACACTGGCCCTGCAGTTCCCCATGGTCGCTCAGCCCTGGCTCCCCTTTGGAGCAAGTGGATTGTGCTAATCAGGTTCCTAGTTCTGTCTGCTCCAACTCCAGCTCCCTCAGCTCTGTGTCTCTGGCTCTGGCTTGGTGCTGCCTCTCTAGCTCCAGCTCTGCCCTCTGGGTTGTTTCTTTTGTGTTATGTTTCTGGACACTGTGGCTTTGCCTCCAGCTCCTGCTGAGATCCTCTCTCAACATGCCCAGACAAGCCCTCTATGCCTGGTTTCCCCAAAGGCTCATGGGAGTTGTAGTCTCTGGGGCTAGATTACAGCACACAGGATCCTCCCAGGAAAAGTCAGAGGCACCTTTAGTAAGGGGACTACATTCTCCACTTGAAATAACATTCAGTATTTCTACTGCAGGACAATGTAGCACTCCCAGACTAACACGGCTACATTTCTATTATTATTTCTACTGCAGGAATAGCCCAACTTAGTTAATAGCTAACTGAAAAGTATCCAAAACATAGCCCAACTCAGTTAATAGCTAACTGAAAAGTATCCAAAACTTTCTTGCAACAAAGTTTATTTTTATTAATGCATCTAAATATCGAATAACAAATAAAGACTTATGTTAGATACCTAGTACTGAGGTGATTAAAAAATAAAAGCGACAAGTATGAGCAAGGATATGTCTACATTAGCAACAGAGCTATAAGATGTCAATCAGAATCAAAATCTCAACACTGGTACTTGAGAGTTGGCAGGTACGTCAAAGAAATACAGCCTATGACGGCATGGAAAAGGCCCAAAAGGAGCCTACAATATATGTTGTTTAAAAAAAACATTTTTATACTATTTATTTCTATTAGCATTCATGTCTGTAGGTAATGTTTATATTTTGAGTTGAATTGTTTTTTTATTGTTCATCTCTAAAAATCAAAACATTCCTCCTTCCTGTCTTTGTTGGAAGTAAAAAATACTTGTGCCACTGGTCATAGAAATCAGCAAGCATCAGTCTAATTCTTTTCTTTGCTAATGCAAAATGTCCACTACAAATTTTGTGGTGTTGAACTAACCGAAAGCTTCACTTGCATCTTCTTGAACAATTTTATCAATTATGTTCATCTGGGTGAACAAATTTTAATGTGCAGTATTGTGGAATGTTAGTGATCACAACAAATGTGCAAATAAGCAAAGGTCACTGAAATCTTTGTCCCCAGTGGCATCTTATGTGTTTGAAACCATCAGCCCCAAATTGCTCAACTTGGTTGTCCTCCATATGAGGCCAGTGATCCATGGTGAGAGCTCTTTACAGCTCCTTATGTCCCCAGCTTCCATAAAACAATGGCAAAAATGCAATCTCAGCCTCTCTTGGGGATGCAGAATTCAGCACAGTAGGACTTAGTACTTGCAAGCGATTCGGTATTTGGTGGTATTTGGTGGTATAGCATGAAATCTCAACGTCCGCTTTTGACATCTTTGACAGCTGGAAAAGTTTTGCATGTGGCCCAGCTGACATGCAGCACCACTTTGGTTCATCCTCCCATGATGTTCCTTCTAATTTTTTTTTCATTGCTGTATAGAATAAATTTTATTATGTGCACTGGAGCTTTTGCCGATTTGCTCCACCAGCACTAACACAGGCTGCTGACTGTGGATACTCTGCTAATCAGCAGGGCAGCTCCTATATCTCTCCTCCGTGAACACCCAGGTGCTCAGCTTATAGTGAATATGAGCATTGCCAGCAAATCCAGAGAAGTGATTATTCCCCTTTATTTAGCTCTGGTGAGACCACATCTAGAATATTCTGTCCAGTTCTGGGCCCCCCACTATAGAAAGTATGTGGACACATTGGAGAGAGCCCAGCGGAGGGCAACCAAAATGATTAGGGGGCTGGAGCATATGACTTATGAGGAGAAGGTGAGGGACTTGGGTCTGTTCAGTCTGCAGAAGCGAAGAGTGAGGGGGGATTTGATAGCAGCCTTCAACTTCCTGAAGGGAAGTTCCAAAGAGGATGGAGAGAGGCTGTTCACAGTAGTGACGGATGGCAGAACAAGGAGCAATGGTCTCAAGTTGCAGTGGGGGAGGTCTAAGTTGGATATTAGGAAAAACTATTTCCTGAGGAGGGTGGGGAAGCACTGGGATGGGTTACCTAGAATGGTGGTGGAATCTCCATCCCTAGAGATTTTTAAGTCTCGGCTTGACAAAGCCCTGATTGGGTTGATTTAGTTGGGATTGGTCCTGCCTTGGGCAGGGGGCAGTCCTTGATGACCTCCTGAGGTCTCTTCCAGCTCTATGATTCTAGGATCTTCCAGGCCACCCAAATAACTGGAAGTAGAAAAATCAGGACATTTTTGGTCAGCAGATCCCTGCACATGTGATAATGGACTGAGCATTTTAGTGTCTTTCTTTTTCTTTGGCTCAAGAAAATAGTTCACAGTGTAGTTTCTTAGTCAATCTCATCAACAACCTTCCACTCACATGGTCCAATGAAACACCATCTTACATCAGAGACCTGCAGTAACATTGGTGGCCTGGAAGACACGGAAAGGCAGATAACTAGGGGTATGTCTACACCTCGCTTGCGTCCACTCAGCAATCGTGTTCTTTTGGGGGAAAAAATCAAAATAACAGAGGGATTTTTCCGAAATTAGTCAACTTATTTCTATGAGGAAGAAATCTTTTTCCAAAAGAGCTCTTCCGGAAAAAGGTGTGTGTGGAAGAGGAAATTCTTTCGGAAGAAGAGGAAAGAGGAAAAAGCACAGGTGCCCTGGTGGCCATTCTGTCCACAGCAATCACAGCTTACATAAGAGATAGCATCCATGGAGAATGGACGCTATCTTTCGAAAACACAGATCGCTTTTTCAGTGTGCTTTAGCAGTGTGGATGCTTTCATTCAGAAAAAGTTTCTTTAGAAGATCTCTTCTGGAAAGCTTCTTCTGAAAGTAGTCATCAGTCTAGACATAGCCTAGGCAGGGCACATGGGGGATGCTGGAAGAGATTTTAGAGGACTGGTCAATGAAGGTACATCCACACAACAACATTATTTTGAAATAACTTAGTCTGCGTCTACACAGCAGGCAGATATTTTGAAATAACGTCGAAATACTGTCAAGCTGGAGGACCTCTTACTCTGACTCCTGTAACTCTCATTGTATGAGGAGTAAAGGAAGTCAAAGGAAGAGTGCTCTATTTCGAAATAACTGCCTGTGTAGATGCTCCCTATTTTGAAATAAGGTACAAAATTGACGTAGCTCAATTTATGTGGCTTATTTCAAGTTAAGCCCTGCTGTGTAGAGAATACTCAGCCAAGGAGAGAGCGCTGCTTGGCATGACATGATAAGACTTCTGGTGTGAGGAACTGTGCAGACTAGGCATGTCCACAATACAGAGCTCCGACAGACTGCGTAAGAGCACCCTCAGTTCATGCGGAGCTAGGCTTTCCCCGGCTTCTCATGTAGTTTTAATGTCCGTAGCCCCAAGCGATCACCTTCTGTGGGTCAATTTGCCTAATTTGTCACAAAGCTCTTTGGTTTTAACTCCATAAATGATGGGGTTGAACATGGGTGGGAGGAGGAAATAGAGGTTGACCAAGATGACGTGAACATGGGGAGTGATGTCCTGAAAGAACCGGTGTGTCAGAGAAGAGAAGAGAATGGGAGCACAAGACATCAACATCACGCAGAGGTGGGTGGTGCAGGTGTTGAGGGCTTTCTGCTGGGCTTTCTTGGAGGAGATTTGCTAGCCGCTAGGATCTCTGCTGGGCATGCTCCCAGGCGGCAGAACTAGATCTGGCAGGCGCTAGGATCCAGGGAGAAGGCTGAGTGCTGTGCGCACCGATGCAGAAAGCCTGGCACCAGATGCAGCTGGGGGAGCTGGCACTGGCCAATAACTAGCATTATTTCAAAATAACTTAATCCACGTCTACACAGCTGGCAGTAATTTTGAAATAATGTCGGAATACTGTCAAGCTGGAGGACTTCTTCCTCCGACTCCTGTAACCTTCATTGTATGAAGTGTCAGGGAAGTCAAAGGCACAGTGATCTATTTCGACATAAGTGCTGTGTAGACGCTCCCAAATTCAAAATAAGTTACAAAATTGACGTAGCTCCCTGAGAGGGAACTTGGCCAAGGAGAGAGCACTGCTTGGCCATGGAATGATAAGACTTTTGGTGTAAGGAACTGTACAGACTAGGCATGTCCAACAAACTTGGAAAGAGCACCCTGGGTTCATGAAGAGGTAGACTTTCCCCCATCTTGTCATGCAGTTTTAATGACAGTGGCCCCAAGCAATCACCTTCTGTGGGTCAATTTGCCCACTTTGTCACGAAGCTCTTTGGTTTTGACCCCATAAATGATGGGGTTCAGCATGGGAGGGAGGAGGAAATAGAGGTTGGCCAAGATGATGTGAACATGGGGAGCGATGCCCTGACCGAACCGATGTGTCAGAGAAGAGAAGAGAAAGGGAGTATAGGACGTCAGTATCACACAGAGGTGGGTGGTGCAGGTGTTGAGGGCTTTCTGGTGGGCTTTCTTGGAGGAGATTCGGAAGATGGCCCTGAGGATCAGACCATAGGACAGAGCAATGAACGTTAGATCTAACGCAGTGACTATAAGCACTATCACCAAGCCGTATGTCCTGTTGACAGTCATGTCCCCACAGGACAGCTTCACCACGGCCATGTGCTCACAGTACGTATGGGCGATCATGCGGTTGGCACAGAATGGCTCCCTGCTGAAGAACACGGGCAGGGGCAGCATTATGAGAATAGATCTCACCAAACCCACCAGCCCCAGCTTAGCTACTCGTGCGTTGGTGAGGATTGTGGGGTATCTCAGTGGGTTACATATGGCAACGTAGCGATCGAAGGCCATCAAGACCAGTGTGGCTGACTGGATAACAGAAGTTGCATAAAGCAAGAACATCTGGGTGAGGCAGCCACCCACCGTAATTTCTTTTACATTGAACCAAAATATACACAAGGCCTTAGGCACAACAGAGGTGGACATGGCGATGTCCATGATTGCCAGCATGCAGAGCAGCAGGTACATCGGCTGGTGCAGGGTCTGCTCTTTTACCACAACAAAGAGAAGAGTGAAATTTCCCAAGAGGCCGACAATATAGATCATCGAGAAAGGGATGGAAATCCAGAGGTGGGCCTCTTCAAGGCCAGGGATCCCCATGAGGATAAATGTTGAAGGTTCAGACTGGGAGTGATTGAAAGCTGCCATGATGTGATGTGTGAGTCGATTGGGTTCAGAAATTGTCAAGGTGCCTATGAAGGGAGAATAGCACAGTGAAGCGGGTTATACATGTTTGAAAAAATACAGTCAATATTTTATAGTAATTAACAATCTAGAAAGGGGTTGTACAGTGAGGAGTAAGCAAAAACAGACAGCAGTAGACAATTTAGGTCATTGGCAAGTCCAAAGAAGTTCTCAAAGGAAGCCTAGCAAGCCAAGTGAATGGGAAGCATTCTCATAGATAAACTTTTATATCAATAACTGCAGAGTGAATGTCCATGGGTGCAGAGATGGATCTTAAACTCCTCAAGTAGACAACACAGCTTTATATTGTCACATGTAATGTGTTTAATGCGTAGTGTCAAAATAAACGTTAAACAACTGTAACTCTGCCAATCATCCTTCTCTTGTGATCGTATCTGCTGTCAAGACAGAAATAGATCAGAAGGATCCCTGGGATTCAGCATGATCACACTGTTGCTTTTAGTAGTTAGAATATAGATTGTGTTATGATCAATGAATTAAAAGTTAATACAAATAGAAGCTTTGTATTGAAATAGATCGATATCTTTTGTATGGACAATTGTAATCCTGTTTCCACATGTGAAATGGTTGTGTAGTTCCTGGAGGGTGAGGGGAGTGGATGAGTTTGAAATGTGAGTGTCTGGAGAAGAGGTCGTACCATCAATTGGGCCCAATACAAAGCCGACCGATGGAGGACATATGGACGGCCTTGGAGTGTTAAGAAGAAAACAAACTTTTACAAACAAGACAGCCTTGAAATACAGTCAGTTCCCAAGTTACGAACAGTCGAGTTATGACCGTTCGCCTTTACAACCAAAGCTCCAATGGAGAGATTATAAAGGCAGTCCCCGAGTTACGAACACGACCCGCACTTACGAACAACGCGGTTACTATGTAAATCAGTGGGGTCCGAGTTACAAACAGATTGAGTTATGGCCAAGTGTTTGGTCTGTAACTCGTTCATAACTCGAGGAGAGGCTGTAACCCTGGGAAGGAGGCACCAACATACTGATGTCAGATGGCAAAGAAAAATGACTTTCAGATAAACAGATGTTAAAATGTATGCATCTGACAATATGGGTCTTTGCCCACAAAAGCTTATGCTCCAATAAATGTATTAGTCTATAAGGTACCACAGGACTTCTACTTATTTATGCAGATGTTAATATGGTGATTAACAAAGAACTTACACTGCAAAATGCATAGGCCTCAGTGGAAGAAAAGTCCTATAAAAGATGGGGCATCTTGCATGAATGTCCAGGTCTCATCTTGTCAAATTTGGAGCATCGGTCCAGACCAAGAGAAGCCTACGCTCTGACTCCTCACATTAGACTCACCTGGCCATTGCGATATTGTGAGCAACAGACTGGTAACTTTAAGCAATGACAAGACTACATATGTGTGTGTTTGTGTCTTTATGTGTGCGTATGTGTATGAATATACTTATAACAGCGTAATGTTACATTGTCAATAAATGTGGCATTTTGCCTTACCCCATAAAATGATCCTGTGAAATTCTTTCAAATATAACACTCAGACAGCTAGTGAAATCCTAATTTAACTGTAAGAACTCAGGACTGGGAGCTAGGCAGCTCTGTAAAACCCTGTTCACCATGCAAGTATGGGCAAACACTACACAAAATGTGATCGAGGAGGTGTGGGATGGGGAATCACACAGAAGTGCAACATCATGAGATCAGTTAGTTAGTGTCTTTTCTTCCCCTGTAGACTCTTCTGTATGATATCCGTATCCCCCAGGATTTTTCAGGAATAGAGGAGTTCAGACAAGGGCAACAAGTCTGATCAAGTATAGGAGAGGTAGCCGTGTTAGTCTGAATCTTCAAGAACAATGAGAAATCCTGTGGCACCTAGGGCCGTGTCCAGACTCAGGAGTTTTTTCGGGAAAAGCCTACTTTTCCCGAAAAAACTTTCCCTGCGTCCAGACTCAAGCTGTGTTCTTTCGAAATTATTTTGAAAGAACGCGGCTTTTCTTTCGATGGCGGTAAACCTCAATTTACGAGGAAGAACGCCTTCTTTCGAAAGAGAAATCCGCTTTTTCGAAAGAGAGCACCCAGCGAGTCTGGATGCTCTCTTTCGAAGACGGACTCTTTACATTGAAGAACGCCTTCTTTCGAAAGAGAAATCCGCTTTTTCGAAAGAGAGCACCCAGCGAGTCTGGATGCTCTCTTTCGAAGACGGACTCTTTACATTGAAGAACGCCTTCTTTCGAAAGTTCCTCTTTCGAAAGAAGCCTGCAGTCTAGACATAGCCTTAGTGACTAACAGATTTATTGGAGCATAAGCTTTCGTGGGTAAAGACCCACTTCGTCAGATGCAAGTCTGATCAAGGGCAGGTTACATGCCAACATGATCAGACGTACAGTCGACATCAATCCAAGGGTTAATCCAGGGTCCTCTTCAGTTGAGCCTCTTCAATGACCAGGAGGATAGGTTTTGTTTCATCATCAGCAAATTTGTGGACATAGACAGTTGGAGAATTGGGCCAAAAAATATCTGATGGGGTTCAACAAGGACAATATAGAGTCTTGTAGTGAGGATGGAAGAATCCCAAGCATTGCTACTGGCTGGGGACCAATTGTCTAAGCAGCAGTTCTGGAGAAAAGGACCTGGGGGATTACACATGGAGACATGGAGGGAGATGCTGAAAATATGTCAGCAACGTGCCCTATATTTGGCTGCCTGAGTAGGGGAGCATTGGCAGTAGTTCGAGGGAAGTGGTTATTCTCCTCTATTTGGCACTTGTGAGCCTAGAGTATTGCATCCAGTTTTGGACCATCCACTAAAGAAAGGCTCCAAAGATGTAACAGAATCATAGAACACTTGAACTGGAAGAGCCCTCAAGAGGTCATCAAGTCCAGTCCCTTGTCCTTACGGCAGGACCAAGTACCATCAACATCATCCCTGATAGATGTCTATCAAACCAGCTCTTAAATACCTCCAGTGATGGAGATTCCTCAGTCTTCCAAGGTAATGTATTCCACTGTTTAACCACACCGACAATTAGGAATTGTCCCCTTACTGCAATTTAAGCCCATTGCCTCTTGTCCTATCATCAGAAGCCAAGGAGAAGAACTTTTCTCACTCCTTCTTGTATCACCCTTTTAGATACTTGAAACTGCCATCATGTCCCCTCTCAGTCTTTTCTTTTCTAAACTAAAAAGCCCAATTCTTTTAGTCTTCTCTCATAGCTCATGATTTTCTAAACCTTTCATCATTTATGTTGCTCTTCTGTGGACCATCTCCAGTTTCTCCACATCGTTCTTGAAATGCGGTGCCCAGAACTGGACTCAATACTCCAACTGACATCTAATCAGTGCAAAGCAGAGCAGAAGAATCCCTCAAGGGAGGAGGGATAGCTAAGTGGTTTGAGCATTGGCCTGCTAAACCCAGGGTTGTGAGTTCAATCCTTGCAGAGGCTATTTGGGTGAAAAATTTGTCTCATATCATGCTCACAACATCCTGTTAATGCCTCCCAGAACCATGTTTGCTTTTTTGCAACGGTGTCGCACTGTAGACTCATATTTAGCTTGTGGTCAGTGACTGGGAGTCTCACTGTTGACTCATATTTAGCTTGTGGTCCACTATGACCCCTAGATCTCTTTCTGCAGTACTCCTTCCAAGACAGTCCTGATTCTCACTTAGCTCATAGCCTCAACTATCTTTTTTGGCAACGAATCTTTTAGTTTCATTAAGGCTTTCAGCAAAAAGAACAGTTATCTTGTATCAACATTCCTGTTAATGCCTCCCAGAATCACATTTTTGTTTATCCTCTTGCAAAGTTCCCTCTATATTTTCCATCTCTGTGTGGAATATATTTTATTATATGCACTGAGGTGTGTGCAGATGTGAACCACCACTACAAACACAGGCTGCTGGCTGTGGTTTCTCTACTAATGAGCTGGGCAGAACCTGCAACTTTCCTGGTTGGCTGGGTGATCCAATGGGTGAAAGTTGTTGTTAAAGAAATTCTGACAGGAAATAAGGTATAATTTTTTTAAACGGTGAGTGTAATTAACATACGGGCCCCAATTTTCCTCTAATGGAGGCCAGTCTCAATCTGGAGTGACCCAGAAAAGAGAGACGGGAATCTGGCCAGAATCTTGTTGTGAACCCTCTGGCAAAAGTGATACCCATGGCGGAGACTTTTGCTGCTCTTCCTAACAAGGCAGTGAAGTTGCTGAATTGGAGAACAGCAGCAAACGAGAGGAAAAAAATCCCACACCTTCCCCCCTCTTCCAAACCAAAAAGGCTGCAGGGATAAATACAAGAACACCAGAGTGACAAATAATTGTTATTTAGTCTAAATTATTTATAATAATTTTGTAGAGTCAATTTTACCAGGGTTTTCTGACAATACTAAATCTTTCACGCTTCCGTGCTAGTGAACTCTTGTCCAGATTTTTTTAATTGAACCCTTGAAGCGTTCGTGAGCCCTTAGTACTAACATTATTTTAGAAAGAGGCAACTCACCAAAATCCCCTTTGACGGAGAAAGATGATTTCCTTACGGCGACAGAAAGGCAGAGCCCCGGGAATCAGCTATTGAATCTCACATGTCTGAACCTTGGTGTGCTGCAAAGCGACTTTTATATTTCTCCTGTAGAATCCCTGCAGACTCATTGGTTTGCCAAGCATCCAGGACAATTCCCATGGCTCCATGACCAGTAGGAAGAGCAGAAAAGAGACCCTGGAGATCTTCAGCCAAAGAGCCTCTACCAGGAGTGAAGAAAAGCTTTGCCAATAACGGGGGCTTAGATGGTCAGGGCAAAATGAGTGTTGCAGTGCTGATAGAGTGGTCCGTCATACTGAAACTCCAGAGGGAAATTAAGAGCCACATTTTCATCATACTCATTTATCCATCAGCATTTCTGTGTTGCTGACCCTTGTCATAGAATCCGAGCGTCTTCTCCTTCTCTCCTGGTGGATGAGTCCTGGGCTGAACCCCTGAAAACACAACATGTGATGGGAAGGCTTTTGTACATGTCTGTTTCAAACAAAGTAATAACCCTTCTCTGTGCCGGAATACAGCACAGATGGTCCCGCTTATCAGATCCCTCACTCTTGTGTTCTTTCTTTCTGAAGTACCTCGCCACTTTCGGAAGACAGGGTACAGAACTAGATGGACCATTGCTGTGATCCGATACGGCCAGTCTTTGGTTCTTATCTCAATCTCCTATTTCTTCTCCAGTTACAGGAACTCATTACTGATGGAATTCCTAAGCATCACTACCGTGAATGGTCTATGCCACTGACCCTGCAGACATGTTACTAACAATAGCACTCAGTCACCCAGTTTGAATGCTCACAGCTGGGCTCCTTTGTCTGAGTAGTCTCCTTGTATCTGTTTTGTGTTTAGCAAATTCTTCTAGCAAACACCTGCAAAGTGCTGAGATGATTGCTTGACTAAAGAATGTATTGGACTATATCCATTGTCTGAGTTGATTGCTCTTGCAATTTTCTCCCAGTAGGTCTGGAAAACATCAAGACTTCTTCTCCAGCAGCAGTAAAAAGGGAGAAAACGTGGAGGTTTGAGGTACCTCCCAGATAGCAAAGGAAGTGAGGGAAGAGTTGGGTCCTAATGTGTGCACACCAAGGCTGACCAGTTGACCTGCTTTGCCCCTCCCTCAAAGTGGGGATGGTAGGTTGACATGATGAATGTGGTTATCCAGAGTAGATCTCAGTTTTTCATGTGTCACGAGTCAAGTGAAGTGAACCCTGCCATGCAAATTTGTACCCATCTTTGGAAAACTGGGCATGGTCTCTGTGTTATGTGTGTCACTGTGTGTCATCTCAGGCCAGAGCCACTCTGACAATCCACCACGAACAGACTTTATTCTGTAAATGCCATGGAAAAGGATTAAGTCCTGCAGCTTCCTCTCTGGTTTCTTGCTAAATGCTCCCCACTCAGCGAATGCTGAGGCCTCTTCCTGGTAGAGCAAAGGGTACCTCCCGGTAGGAGTCAGAAGCTCTCTTGACATGCCACCACATCTTACAGTTCTTAGGGCTGCTGTTAAATTTGCTGGACCTTGTCTAAATGTGCGGTACCTTTCGTGAGCATACGTATTTCTGTTGCAAGGTTCAAGCTGCTGTCATTGATTCCCATCTTAGAGTGACTGTTGAGACTTGTGTTTGGGAGTAGTTAGCTGCTGTGCAGGTTTGGGGAATGCTGGGATATCTTGAGGTGCTGTGGCTTCTGCTAAGACAGATGCAATGATACTGACTTCCACCAGGAATTAATTGTGGAAGCCTGCTATTTGTTTTCTTTGTATTGCTGAAAGGAAATTAACCTTTAAGGACTTGCTATGTTACAAGTGAGGAACATTGGAGCAATATGGAAAAGTTACTAGCCCTATATGTACTGTTAAGCCAACTTGTCTTAGAATGAAAATTGTGCCCACCAGGAAATAATGTGATCCAGGTGGAATACTATTGCCTGGCTGGATTTGATTGGCCAAGAGATGCATCTTCTGATGGGCCCACATCATATGGATGTGTGTTTGTATCTGCCTTCAGCTATAGATGCACTGGTGGAGCACAAGGGAGAGCTTGGGTATTTGCAGTATGTAGTCAGGGCTAATAAGGATGTGCTGATACAAGGTCCTGTCCTTTCAAAGCGGTTATTCACGTGGGGGAGCAGGATGAGATAGGCTGTATGTGTTCCTCTGAGACTTGCAATGGTAGTAGAGTGAAAGCCTGGAACATGGTGGCTGTGTCTAGACTGGCCAGTTTTTCCGGAAAATCAGCCGTTTTTCCGGAAAAACTGCCCAGCTGTCTACACTGGCTGCTTGAATTTCCGCAAAAGCACTGACTTCCTACTGTAAGAAATCAGTGCTTCTTGCGGAAATACTATGCTGCTCCCATTCGGGCAAAAGTCCTTTTGCGCAAAAGGGCCAGTGTAGACAGCCCAGATTTGTTTTCCGCAAAAAAGCCCCGATCACGAAAATGGCGATTAGGGCTTTTTTGTGCAAAAGCGCATCTAGATTGGCCACGGATGCTTTTCTGCAAAAAGTGATTTTGTGGAAAAGCATCCGTGCCAATCTAGATGCTCTTTTCTGAAAATGCTTTTAACGGAAAACTTTTCCATTAAAAGCATTTCCGGAAAATCATGCCAGTCTAGACGTAGCCAGAGACTAGTAAAATATCTGAGGTCTAAACAGCAGTGTGTGAACCAAAGTCAGGTCAGCTATAAAAGCAGATGCTCCCAAGTTCACCGTCCAGTACATGACCTTGTCAATGCTGTTGTTGTTGGTGTCCCATGTGTTAGCTAAATACCTAACTCTATTCTAGCTGTTGCAAATCCATCTCAATGTAGTAGAGGATAAGACGCTTTGACGAAATAAGGAATTGCAATGTTTTGTGCAAGATACCAGGAACAAAGGGAGCCAGGAAATAGTGTCACGAAGCACAGAAGTGGAGGCAAGTTATTAATTGCAATTGTTTGTCTCAGTCTAAGTCATGGGATCATAGGTCCTGGCAGGGGCCTCAAGATGTCCTCACGCTGGACATGAGTGCAATGGACTGGACCAAGGTATTATCTGCACCATCGCATATCTCTAACATGCTCATTACAATTTCTAATGATGGAGATTCCAAAGCCTCCCTATGCAATTTATTCTAGTGATTAAGCATCCTGGCAGTCCCTAATGTCCACCCTATACCTCGGTGAGGAATGGGAGAGGTACTACCCTTTTCTGGATATCCCAGGTACACAGTTCACTAATTAGCCTGAAAGGGTGTATCTAGACTACCTAGTTTTGTCGACAAAAGTGGACTTTTGTCGACAAAACTATACCAGCGTCTACATTACCGCTGAGTTCTGTCGACATAACGTCGACAGAACTCAGCAGTTTTGTCAACGCTGGTATACCTCATTTTACGAGGCATAACACCTTCTGTCGACAGAACTCTGTCGACAGAAGGTGTTATTGCCTGTAACATTGCATTCAGACTACGGAGTTCTGTCGACAAAGCAGCTTGCTTTGTCGACAGAACTCAATGTGTCTGGACGCTCTTTGTCGACGGAAGTTTTGTCGACAGTATCTTCCGTCGACAAAACGCAGTAGTCTAGACGTACCCTAAGGGTTAACCCCAGAGACACCGGGTTCCTAAGGAGTCTGCAGGCAACGTTGTCAGGGAGCCAGGAGAGCTAATAACACCAGAGCATATTTTTAATTGAAAAGCAGGACCTCCCTGCTGCAGTCTTCATGTGACCTGAGCAAAAGCTAAGGGTTAAGGGTTAAGCTGTGGCGGTGGTGGGGAACCATGGAGTTTCTAATGCTATCCATGGCCAGGGAAGGACTAAACCATGGAAGAACAGATACATGAGTAGAACAGGGAATGTAAGTCAGACGCATTCAGGTTATTTTCTTTGTCGGGGGGTTGTTTGAATGGCTCTGCTGAGGCCATCCTCAGGAGCTTTTAAACTGAATCCCATGGGAGCAATTCTCTGTATTTTAACCTTGTCTTGTTTTAAATTGCTCTGTAAATGAGTAATGTAATTGTATAATACAAGAGTAATGTAATTGTATAATAATTATATATATAGGTAATATCTATATTTTGGGTCAAATTAATTTGTTACTATTTGTTTCTGAAAATCTGTGTTTCATCTTTCCTTTCTTTGTTGGAAGTAAAATGCTTCTGCTGCTGGTCATGGAAATCATTAGTAACTACATTCAGTCATTTTGTTCGCTGATACAAAATGGTCACAACAAATTTTGTGTCACTGCACTAACACAAAAAAAAGTTTTTGAAAAGCTTCTCTTGCATCTTATCGAACATTTTTTTTTATTAATTTCATCTGGGAAAGCAAATTTTCAAGTACAACATTGCTAAGAGTTAGTGACAGCAACAACAGAATAAATAAGCCAAGGTCATTGAAGACTTTGTCCCCAGCAGCATCTGTATATTTGAGACCTTCAACCCATAACTGTTAAACTTAGTTATCCTCCATATGAGGCCAGACAACCATAGGCAGAACTCTCCACAGCTCCTCAAACTGTCCATGGTTTCCATAAAACAATGGCAAAAATGAAACATCCCTCAATCTTGCTGATGCAGAACTCAGCATAGCAGAAGAACTTAAGGGATTCAATCTTGTGGGGCATTTGGTGGGAATATCTTTTTCACAAACTGGGTTGGCAAATCCAAACATCCACTTTTGACATTGTCCACAAATAGAACAGTGTTTTCATGGTTCCAGCTGAAATGTGACACCCAAATCGACTGCACAAATCAGTAAGTAATTTGACTCCAAGGCAACATTGTAGCATTACACAATTCTTACCAAAAAGCTCTACACGAATGTCCTCAACTTCTGCATCAGCTTTTCCGGTGTTAGCTGGTACCAACTGAACATTTTGGCTTATCCTCCAGCAATGTTCCCTCTAATTGGTTTTTTTTCCATCTGTGTGTGGAATAAATTTTCTTATGTGCACTGATGTATGAGCAGATGTGAACCACCAGTATGAATATAGGCTGTGGGCGCTGTGGTTGCTCTACAAATGAGCTGGGCAGCACCTGCAACTTTCCTGGTTGGCTGGGTGATGACAATACAGAAAGAGATCAGCCCAAAATGGTCAGCCAGTAGGAACTCAGCCACGGAGAGAGCACTAGTTGGACACGGCGTGATAAGGCCTAAGGCACTGTTCAGACTGTGAACTTCCACAATGCTACGCTCAGCCAAACTGAGCCAGAGACTTCTTCATTAATGTAGAGTTCTCCTTTCCTCCTCTTGTCATGCAGGTTTATCATCAATGATTTATTATGTGATCATTTTCTGCAGGCGTATTTGCACACTTTGTCACGAAGCTCTTTGGTTTTGACCCCATAAATGATGGGGTTGAGCATGGGAGGGAGGAGGAAATAGAGGTTGGCCAAGATGATGTGAACATGCGGGGCAATGCCCTCACCAAACCGGTGTGTCAGAGAGGAGAAAAGAGAGGGAGTATGAGACGTCAGTATCACACAGACGTGGGCAGTGCAGGTGTTGAGGGCTTTCTGGTGGGCTTTCTTGGAGGAGAGTCGGAAGACAGCCCTGATGATTAGACCGTAGGACAGGGCAATGAGTATCAGATCTAATCCGATGACTACGCATACAACCACCAAGCCGTACGTCCTGCTGACTGTGATGTCCCCGCACGATACCTTTGCCACAGCCATGTGGTCACAGTACGTGTGGGTTATAACGGAGTTGGCACAGAACGGCTGCCTCCTGAGGAGCAGGGGCATGGGCAGAATGAAGAGGACAGCTCTTACCAAACCCGCTAGCCCTAGCTTAGCGATTCGTGCATTGCTGAGGATGGTGGTGTAGTTCAAAGGGTAACATATGGCAACATAACGATCCAAGGCCATAAATACAAGGATGGCCGAGTGCATCACAGAAGCTTCATGAAGGAAGAACATCTGGGTGAGGCAGCCACCCACTGTAATGCCTTTTAAATTGAACCAAAATATGCCCAGTGCCTTTGGCACGACAGAGGTAGAGGTGCCGATGTCGGTGAGCGCCAGCATGCAGAGCAGCAGGTACATCGGCTTGTGCAGGGTCTGCTCTTTGCCTACCACAAAGAGAACTGTGACATTACCCAGCAGGCTGATGACATAGATCATAGAGAATGGGATGGAAATCCAGAGGTGGGCATCTTCAAAGCCAGGGATCCCCATCAGGATAAATGTTGAAGGTTCAGACTGGGTGTGATTGAAAGCTGCCATGATGTGATTTGTGAGTTGATTAGGCTCAGAAATTGTCAAGGCGCCTGTGAAGGGAGAACAGCACAGTGAAAGGGCAGGGGAGGGGGTTACAAGTTTTAAAATAGCATGTTAAATCGTTTATAGTTAATACGAGTCTAGAAATGGAGGGGATTTGAGCAGTGACGCGTAAACATTGACAAATGGCACCAGATTATTTAGGCCATTGTCGAGTCCAGAGAGGTCCTCAGAGGGAGCCAGTGAAGCCAGGTAAATGGGCAACCTATGGGCACATGGACTTTGATGTCCAGAACTGAAGTTTGGCTACCCATTGGAGGGAAGAGCTTGAAGCTGTAAGAAGGCAGGATGGGGAGCTGAGCAGCATGCCCCCCCCCCCAGCTCACCGTTCAAACATGTAGAGCTCCTACGCAAAACACTGGAATCCAGGAGGTGTGGGATGGGGAATCATATTGAAAATATAACATCACGAGGTCAGTCAGTTGACATGTTTCTCCTTCTAGACTCCTTGGTGTGGTATCCTTCTCACCCAGGACATTGCAGAAGTAGAAGGGTTCAGGCAAGGGCAACAAGATTGATCAATGGCCCAGGGGTACTGCCAATATCAAGCAGAGCTCTGGGGCCAATGCTGGGACCTGTTATGTTCAACCTCTTCAGTAATGGGATGGGACTGGACCATCAGCAAGTTTATTTTAAAATCACGTGCTAGTATAGACCAGTCTACAGTGACACTGCATCCAGAACAGCTAACGTGATCCCGGGATGACAACTAGGGGAATCTCAAGGAAAGTTCAAGTCATTATTTTACCTCTGTATTTGACACTGCTCTGACTGCTGCTGGAATCCAGTGTCCAATTCTGATGCCAAACATTCAAGATGTACGTTGATTCACTGAAAAGATTCTGAGAAGAATCACAATAATTAAAATATTAGAAAACCAGCCTTAGACTAACATAACATAAGATAAGAACATAACATAAGAATGGCCGTACTGGGTCAGACCAAAGGTCCATCTAGCCCAGTATCCTGTCTGCCGACAGTGGCCAGCACCAGATGCCCCAGAGAGGGTGGACCGAAGACAATGATCAAGCGATTTGTCTCCTGCCATCCCTCTCCAGCCTCTGACAAACAGATTGACTCAACAAGCTCAATTTGTTTAGTTTATCAGCGAGAATGAAGGGGTGACTTAATAAGTCTGTATGGGTACGTCTAAGCTACGGGATAAGGTTGAATTAAGATACACAACTTCAGCTACGTTAATTCCGTTGCTGAAGTCGAAGTAGCTTAACTTGACTTTTGGCGCTTTCCACGCCGCAGGAAGTCGATGGGAGTGTTCTCTCCCTTCGACTTCCCTTCCTCCTTGTAGGAGGAGGACTACCGGCATCGACAATTAGCTGTCTGAAATAGATCTGCTAATTTGAATCCTGGAAGATTGACAGTGGCAGCGACGTACCCTAAGTATCTACACACAGAACAATATTTACGGATATGCTTTTCAGCCCTACCATACAGATGTGTAACATGATCCAATGGGTGGAAGTTAAAGTTAAAGAAACTCTGGAAGGTCCTCGTCCATTCGTCATCACTGGTCTGCGTTACTCAGATGAGGTGATCACCATGGTCCCTTCTGGCCTTGCAATCTATGAACATGTCCCCAGGAGTTAGCTGGAGACATTTTGCCTGCTCGCTCGTTCCTTAGGTTGAAGACATTCTGTTCTATTTGTGACCGTGGTGAATTTATCCCCCGGGGAGGAAGTGTCATGTGACCGTGAAAATATTACATGGAGTATGTATTTCACGAGTCTCATGGGACAGCACAATGACGAGCATTACAGCACAACAATATTTTGGGAAAAAACTCACCTCCCCCAACCTGAGATAAGTTCGGGGCACCCAGGCTGCAGTTCTGTGACTTTCCAGGCAAAAGAGACCCTGAAACTCCCACACACACACTTGGGACAGGAGTGGGCCCAATAGAGGCTTTGGACCAATAATCGGAAAGAAAATTTTCAGTGTCAACAGTGCTGCCAGCTTGTCTGTGTATCTACCAGTCACTCACCACTCCCATACCGTTCGCCTGTCCCTGTACACCCTAGTGCCTTCTACACAACCCCCAGGACCGTGTGTCTGTCTCTGTACAACCCACTGCCTGCCACACAACACAAGCACTGCTCACCTATTCCTGTACCTCCCACTGCCTGTCACACCACACCAAGCACTGCTCGCTTGTCTCTCTCTACACCCCATTGCCTTCCACACAATGCAAACACTGCTCACCTGTGCTTGTACACCCCATTGCCTGCCCCACAACACAAGCACTGCTCGCCTGTTCCTGTACCCCCCACTGCCTGTCACACCACACCAAGCACTGCTCGCTTGTCTCTCTCTACACCCCATTGCCTGCCCCACAACACAAGCACTGCTCGCCTGTTCCTGTACCCCCCACTGCCTGTCACACCACACCAAGCACTGCTCGCTTGTCTCTCTCTACACCCCATTGCCTGCCCCACAACACAAGCACTGCTCGCCTGTTCCTGTACCCCCCACTGCCTGTCACACCACACCAAGCACTGCTCGCTTGTCTCTCTCTACACCCCATTGCCTGCCCCACAACACAAGCACTGCTCGCCTGTTCCTGTACCCCCCACTGCCTGTCACACCACACCAAGCACTGCTCGCTTGTCTCTCTCTACACCCCATTGCCTGCCCCACAACACAAGCACTGCTCGCCTGTTCCTGTACCCCCCACTGCCTGTCACACCACACCAAGCACTGCTCGCTTGTCTCTCTCTACACCCCATTGCCTGCCCCACAACACAAGCACTGCTCGCCTGTTCCTGTACCCCCCACTGCCTGTCACACCACACCAAGCACTGCTCGCTTGTCTCTCTCTACACCCCATTGCCTGCCCCACAACACAAGCACTGCTCGCCTGTTCCTGTACCCCCCACTGCCTGTCACACCACACCAAGCACTGCTCGCTTGTCTCTCTCTACACCCCATTGCCTTCCACACAATGCAAACACTGCTCACCTGTGCTTGTACATCCCACTGCCTGCCACACAACACAAGCACTGCTCGCCTGTTCCTGTATCCCCCACCGCCTGTCACACCACAACAAGCACTGCTCACTTGTCTCTCTACACCCCATTGCCTTCCACACAACTCCCAGCACTGCTTCTCTGTCCTTCCACAGCCTGTTCCCAGCGCCCACAACCCCCAGCACTGCCCACATGTCCCTCTACACCCTGTTCCCTGCCCACATTAATCCCCAGCACTGGCCAGTTGTTCCTGTCCATCCCCCACAGCCACAGTTTCCAGCCCTGCCACACAGTGATACCCCTCACTCTGAACCCAAACCAGGTGCCAGGCCCTCAGAGGCAGCTCGCAGCAACGTCTCCTCAGACCAGGTGAAAGTCAGGGTCTGCCTGCACTGGGGAGATGGGGGAGACCCACCTGACCTGTTTCTGAAGGGATGAAGGGAACCCCAGCCGCAGCTAGGCCCATGCAAGGGAGAAGAGAGGGGCAGACCTGGCAGGAGGCAGAGCGGACGTGCAGATGAAAGGGGACAATGTGGGGATCTCTTCCTCACAACGACACAAGCGTTACCGCGTTGCAGCCCGGTAGAGAACGAGACAGCCCTTCCTGGGGCTGCTTGTCCATGCTGGCAATGGCTGACGTTGACCCGAGGCAGCAGTGGGGTTTCTCCTGGGAGGAAGGACACTGTACATGGGGTCAGAGACAATTTCCTACAGGGTGGTCCATGATATGTCAGTCTGAGACACTTCAATGCCCACAGGGACTTGTTCCGACTCTGATTTCTGCAGGAGGGTGTCTGTTCCCTGTTCCACCCAGCTTCAGGACTCCATGTCACTGCGATCTGGAATAGTGCACAACCCCTGTCACACACTCTCTCTCTCTCTCTCTCTCAGACACACACACAATCCATGTCATTGCAATCTGGAATAGTGCACAACCCCTGTCTCTCTCTCTCTCTCTCTCTCTCTCTCTCTCATACACACACACACGCACACAATCCATGTTACTGCAATCTGGAATAGTACACAACCCCCGTCACTCACTCTCTCTCTCTCTCTCTCTCTCTCTTTATCTCTCACACACACACACATACTCCATGTCACTGCGATCTGGAATAGTGCATAACTCCCATCTTTCTCGCTCTTTCTCTCTTTCTCTCTCTCTCTCTCTCTCTCTCTCACACACACACACACACAATTTCAAGCACCACCTGGTTTCTTCTAAGCTAGAAACACGCTTTTATTTTTACTGCCTTTTGATGCTTCGCACCCTCTCCGGAACCAGAGATACAGGGTACTGTACAGACTCCTCCCCTCTGCATTTTTTTTTAACTAAAGTTCTATGACTGTGAGTTTGAGATTCCAGCAACTTTCTGTCCATTCTTCTGTGGTGTAAATGAACCTGCTCGTCCTTCGAGTCCACAGGACGACTCCATTTGAAGTCACCTAAGGTTCATGGCGGGCGTAAGCTAGTCAGTGTTTAACTTTCTGCTTGAGCTGTGGAAATCAGGACTTCTGGTCCTGCTACAGAGAACATAAGAAAGGCCAGAATGGTCAGGCTAAAAGTCCATCCAGCCCGGTGTCCTGTCGGCTCACAGTGGCCAGTGCCAGGTGCCCCGAGGGAGTGAACAGAACAAGGAATCCTCAAGTGATCCCTCCCCTGTCATTCATTTCCAGCCTCTGCCAAATAGGCTACGTCTAGACTGCCCATGCAAAAAATGAGGTTTACAAGATCTGTCAAAAAGGGTATCTTTTCGACAGATCCGCATCTAGACTGCCGCTTTTTGTCGACAAAGCTCCGTGTCAAAAAAAGCGGTGGCCATGTTTATGCTAATGAGGTGCAGGATATTTAAATCCTGGCTTCATTAAAAATTTCAGTGTGCCTAATCTACATCAGTATTTGATCTGAGGAAGTGGGTCTGGCCCACGAAAGCTCATCACCTAATAAACCATCTTGTTAGTCTTTAA